TTAGGGATATTTTGTGTTTGGCGGTGTGTTAGCCCCAGGTCTATCATAAGGCACCCCTTTTCCTAATGGCAGGAAAGTAGACTGTCTGCCTGTGTTAGCAAAGCCTGTCTCATCTCCATTTTACCTTTACCGAAGCAGTCTGAACTACTTTACAGCTGTCTGTCTGACTCTACTATATCTGTGGGGTTTTGCATGTAGAAAGTATGGTGGTTACAAATAGAAGGAATGGGAGGATATTGAAATGTTGGTTCTTATCATGAAAGCAACACATGATGATGGTAGTACTCTGAATTAGGGAAGGATAAGGTTTTGAAGCATATTAAGAAGACAGATCAAAACAACCTAAATGTCCATCAAAGATCATTAATTAAATGCCTCCATATTTAAAAGAACAATATAGTTTGGAAGAGTAACAGGGAGACAAAACAGAGTAACAGGAGTAGCGAATGGATCAAAATATATTATGTACATATATGAAAATGGCATAATGAAACCATTATGCATAATTTATATTTGTGAATAAAACATTTTTAAAAAAACAGTTGAAAGTAAATTTGAAAAATGGATACTCCAATGAATTACACATCTGAAGATTCAAAACTAATATCCACTGGGTGTAGTATAGTAGCACAAACTTTTAATCCTACCACTCAGGATGCAAAGGCAGCCAGGCAAAGGCAGTGAGTTCAAGGCCAGCCAGATATACATAGCACGTTCTAGACCTGCCAAAGTTACATAGAGATACCCTGTCTCAAAAACAAAAACAAGGGCAGAAAGATACCTCAGCAGTTAAGAGCATTGGCTGCTCTTCCAGAGGTCTGAGTCCAATTCCTAGCAACCACATGGTGGCTCACAACCATCTGTAATGAGATCTGGTGCCCTCTTCTGGCATGCAGGTGTACATACAAACAGAACAATGTATATATAATTGATAAGTCTGGAGGGCGACCCTGTAGGAGGACCAGCAGTCTCAACCTGGGCCCCCAAGATCTCTCAAATACTCGACCACCAACCAGACAGCATACACCAGCTGATATGAGGCCCCCAACACATACAACAGAGGACTGCCAGGTCTTGGTTCAGTCAGAGAAGATGCACCTAACCCTCAAGAGACTGGAGGCCCCAGGGAGTTTAGAAGTCTGGATGGATGGGGACATCTTGGTGGAGACAGGGGTGTGAGGAGGAGGTATGTGATGTGGAATAGTCAGAGGGTAGACAGGAAGATAAAATTTGGAGTGTAAATAAATAAATAAATACCAAAAAACAATAGCAACAACTAACATCCACAAATGAGGGAGGAAAATACAGTTCCCTTTCTGAGTCTGAGTTACCTCACCCAGAACGTTTGTTTACCTGCAAGTGTCATAATTTTGTTTTTAATACTTGAATGGTACTTTGTTGTGTAGATGTGCCACAGTTTCATTATCCATTCACCAATTGATGGACATCTAGGTTGTTTCCATTACTTGGCTGACCCATTGAGTGTAATTTGTGCTTGCTCAAATACTTAGGGTGTGGGGCACTGGAACACCATAGACCTACCAGGGGCCACACCCTTAAAGAAAACAGACTCCCATGACACCTCCATGCTGCATTGTTGAGTTCATGAGTCAACTGTCCTGTCACATCCAAAAAACACCTCTGGCTCTTACAGTCAGTCTTTTCACAGTCCTCTTCTCTGATGGATCCTGGGTGTTATGGGAAAGGGGAAATATGTTAGATAGTTGTCTTAGTTAGAGTTACTATTGTTGTGATGAAACACCATGATCGAAAGCAAGATGGAGAGGAAAGGGTTTATTCAGCTTACACTTCCACATCACAGTTCATCAAAGGAAGTCAGGAAAGGACCTCAAGCAGGGTAGGTACCTGGAGGCATGAGGTGATGCTGAGGCCATGGAGGACTGCTGCTTACTGGCTTGATCAACATAACCTGCTTTCTTATAGAACCCAGGACCACCAGCCCAGGCATGACACCACCCAGGACAGGGTGGATCCTCCCCCATTAATCATGGGTGGGCCCTCCCCCATTAATCACTAATTGAAAAGTTGCCCTGCAGGCTTGCCTACAGTCCAATCTTATGAAGGCATTTTCTCAGTTGAGACTCTATTCTTTCAGATGACTATAGCTGTGTCAACTTGACATAAAACTAGCCAGCACAATAATTTATGGCTGAGCACTCCACGAACACTTATTTCCTGCACTTTGACCACTTGTAAGTTTCTGCAATAACCATCCACTGCACAAAGACATTTCTCTGATGGAGTCTGAAAGCAGCACCAATCTGTGGTTAAGGAGACAGCAATTTAGAGAGCAGTGTGATACTATGTCTATTTAGGAAAACAAATAGTAGGTAGGTTCCCCTATGGAGTCTATGAGCTCCCCAACCATAGATTCTTGGCAAGATTTAGAGTAGAAATCAGGATTTTTAAATTCTCTTTCCCAAGTCAGGTGCAGTGTGGCACATGATTGTAAATCCCAACACTTGGGGAGTAGGGCGGTGGTGAAACAAGAGGATTGCTCCGAGTTCTGAGTTCAAGGCTACTCTGGAACACAAGTGAATTCCAGGCTAGACAGCGTGGCATAGTAAGACACTCTGTCCAAAAACAAACACAAACAAACAAACAAATGAAATTTGTCCTCTTTCCCTTTTATCGATTACTTGTATGTTTAAGGTCGACCTGTTTTTAAATTTTGTATTCTTCAACTCAACTAGCAAGGGTGACTCCTGAGTCCCCCTTGAATTGGAAAAAGAAAAGAAAAGGAAAGGAAATATTGCTGTTCTTAGGTATGGTGTAGGAGAAAGTTTACTGTAGATAAAAGGGAGTGTGTAGGTAGGGGCTTCTGAGAGAGTGTACATGACTCTGAGCTGGACCCTGTGGGGAAAGGGATAGAGGGGAGAGTCTAGCCAGATGCAGCACCTAGGAGGTTCAAAGGTACAAAAAGAGCTGGTAACCAAAATGTCTGGATTATGAGTTCAGAGTAGGGGGCAGTGCAGAGTATGCCAGCCAGGAGGGTCCTGTAACAGGTAGGGGCTAAAGGACCCAGGGAGAACCTGGTAGCCAGGTTCGATTTGATATGTTAAATAGGCACTTCAGCCATTTGTCCCAGGTTTGAAAACTAACACCCCTCATTTAGTATTTTCCTATTCAACTTCTAAGTTCTATGATGATAGTGTTCTGGTACTATTTACTGTGCTACCTTCTATGGGGATGCTCAGAAAAGACCAGCTGACCGATGATGTCCTGGATTGCCTCAGAATCTGATACAATAGCTCTATCCCCTTAACTAGCTGAAAAAAGTAGAGCAGGGATATGCCACCTTGGCTGTAAGGGCAGGGCAGCTGCCGCAGCTATGATCCAACTGCTCTTGCTTATGAGGCTGGAGTAACTGGCCAGTTGGTAGCTAGCTGGTGAGGCTGTGCCCTTTCTGTGTAAATCCTTCCTTGAATAGCTATCTTATTCAAGAACAAAATGCTTCTCTGGTTATGTTGTTTCTTACCCAGTGGTAGCCATCAAGAATGCTTAGGGGAAGGCCAGGGCAGGAAGGTGGGAGTGGGTGGGTGGGTGGGTGGGGAGCACTCTCATAGAGACGGGAAGAGGGGATGGAATACAGGGTTTCCAGAGGGGAAACCGGGAAAGGAGATAACAGTTGAAATGTAAATAAAGAAAATATCCAATAAAAGAAAAAAAAAGGAAAATTAAAGCTAACCAGGACACACACACGCACACACACACACACAAAACATCGTAAAGGAGCCAGGTATGCCTCATGCCTATGCCTCAGCTCTCAGGAGACTGAGGCAGGTGGACTGCAGTTCAAGGCCAACCAAGACTATGATTTTAAACACTATCTCAAGAAAAATATCAGAGCACGAATAAAGATGACAACAGACGAGGAGGGAAAGGTGTGAGGAAAAGGAGGATATAAAAAGAGCTCTTCAATTGCTCCACTGAACCTGAAACATCTTCTGCACACTGCACACACTGCTGCACATTTCTTTTTGAGGGAAATCTAAACAGACTTTGGTTTTTTTTTAAAGGGACATATTTGCTCTGGGGCCACACTGGAGATCTTCCAGGTTAGTGACTCTATTAGCTTCTTATGAAACCTGATTTCATAGGTGAAAACCATTCTAGACTTTTACAAGAATCAAGTTAGATAATACACAAAAGCATGATACAAACTGTAGACTACAGAAATGTTCCTAAGGACAATGGCGGTGAATTAGAGCTAGACTATATTGGCTTCGTGGCAGTTTGGAACAGAATTTAAGTACCTGTGTCTAAGGAACATTAGCTTCATCCAAAGAAAGAAAAATCCTGAATTCTCATGAATAAAAATGAGTTCAATTGATTAAAATGGCTTTCTTTAAAAAGAATACATGAGAAGACACTTCTGATTCTACTACAGATGAAACTGTTGCCATTTCCTTTAGAGCATCTATTACTTTATTGTAAACTGTGAGGGTGCATGTGGCCCCACATAAATGTACTAGGGCTGCATGGTTCTAATAACTAAGAAGTTAAATCACAGCAAGGAAGTGGCCAAGAAGGAAACTACTGCTGCTCTGCTCCTTCTATAAGAACACTGCCTTTTCTCTTCTAGTATCCTGAACTGAAACTTTGCATCGTGGTTTCACCTGGATGCATGACTCTGCAACCTTAGGACCTGCAGAATTAAAGGACTGCCGTCCTGAGGTTGTTGAGCTGTGCGTTTCTGGGCATTTCATCTCTGCAGAGGAATATCCTTCTCCCTCCTGACTAAAGTGGGAAGAGTTGTTGTTTCTCAAGGGAAGACACCATCTATTTTGTAGTCTCTATAATCAGCAAACAGAAGAATTTGATAGTTGGGTGGTAGATACCTTGGCTAAAATCTGGCCCATGACTATGGGCTCCCCTAAATTTGCAGTGCCTTGAGGTTGCCTCTGAATGGCTTTTTAGAGAATAATCTTTTAAAAAATTTTCTACTAACTTAATCTTCCATCTTTTATCTCTAATAGGACCTGTTAAAAACAAGAAAAAGGGTAAGTTGAGCTTCATGATTTTATTAAATTGTCATGTCTTTTTTTAATCAGAAAAAATGAATGAGATAGGATTTTGCATTAATTTCTTTCAGGATTGATTGTCCATTACTTTACACAATCATTTGCACTTTACTTTTTAAGAACAAGAATTAGTTTTTTTCAGCAACAAGGCATGGAAAATAGAATTGACTCTAGCAACACATACAAGTTGTCCTTGTTGGATTATTTGTTTGTTTGTTCATGTATTTATTTGTTCCTTGTATCATTCCCTTCCTCTTGCACTGGGGATAAAACCCAGGACTTTTGCCCTAAGAATATTAGGCAGAAGCTCTACCACTGCATTCTACGCCAAGCCCTTCTTTTGTATTCCTTTTACATCTCAGTTTCCAGTTCACATTTATTTCCTTCTCTTGCTCTGTCCACTGCCTTCTTTTTTCTTCTTTCCTCCTTCTTTATCAGATCAGTTGTCAGGCATGAATGAAGAAGACTTAAGAATGCATATAGAGAAAAGAAACACTACCTATGAAAAGGTATCAATACATTGGTTCTTGACCTAAAAGCTGTCTTTATTCAATTTCCCAGATGATCAAAGATGATACCTCTTGCTCTGAGAATTCAACATCATTTGCTCTGTGGTAAAAATAACAATCTATGCCACTGTGTTACTCTGCTCCTGTCCTGTTTTTAAAGTAGATGCTAGTTGGAGCTATTCACTGTGCTGTCCTTAGTTTCTTAAGTCTACTTTGTACTTCACACGGGACTTGCCAAGGGCACATGAAGTGCTTGCTTGCTGCCTGGCTTGCCTAAAAAAGAGAATACAAAGAGAAAGCAGTTTGTAAGGACTAGGCAAATAAAATTCACCCTTTGAACAAAAAAAAATCAACTGTGAAATCAGTTTATGTACCTGCCTGCTTCTAGGTTCTGCCATTAAAGGAAGACAGAGATAATGTGAAACTAGTGAGTTTCCCTTTAGAAATTCTTCTTTTTTTCCTTTGTCTATATGATACTGGGAATTTAACCCAGGGCTTTACATGTACTAGTCAGATGCTCTATTATTTGACTATATTACTCGCCCTCTTTTTTCTTTCTTTGAATAAGACATGATCTCACTTCATTGTCCAGACTGGCCTTGAACTGACTCTGTAGCTCGGGCTGACCTTGAATTTAGTGATCTGCCCGCCTAAGCCTCACAAGTAGCTTAGATTATGGACCTTAAAATTCTTTACCAGGGTTACAGAGATAACTCCACTGTTAAGAGATCTCACTGCTCTTATAATGGACTTGGGTGTGGTTCCCAGCATCTCCTGGATGGCTCACAACCATCTGTAATTTCAATTCCAGGGGAGGATCCAGTGCCTTCTGTCCTCCTCAGACAACAGGCATGTGTGTAATGTATATGCACACATACATGCAAGGAAAACACTTAGACAACTAAAATAAAATAAGTAAATATTTAAAAAGTACTTTTTAAGTGATTTTGTCTGTTTAGATTTATGGAGCTTTCTAGAGCATTCCTAACTGCATAAAAAGGCTAACTACAGAGGTAGCCTGGCAATCCTCTGAGCACTAGGGTACTCTATTGCTTCAGGTACCCTTAGTACATGTCAAACTCATGTTCCTACTGAAAAAGAAAAGCTGGCAAAATGCACAGCCTTCTGAAGACCTGAACTGAGCAAAGTTAGTAAACACCAAAGAGCTAGAGTGAGTGCAGAATTCTTCTGCTGTTTCCTGGGTGCTTACCCCCAGGATGCTTCATCTTTTAAAGAAGTAAATTTGCGTTTCAAGTATTGGGTTCTTGACTCTTGTTGCATCCCTTCAAGATAGAAATTATAGCTCACATCATTGCTTAGCATTGCTACCTTATATATGGAACATTATTGGGAAAAAATGTATACAAGCCTTAACCATCTACTTTATTTTAAAAGTGATTTAGAAGCCAATTAATATGGGTTTCCTTGGACACAGTGAATAGGCACATACTTGAAGAGGAAAATTGAATCGCTCACTTAATTTTTTACCCTTTAATGGAATTTTCCTACTCACATAACTCTCCCCCTCTCTCTTCCCCTTACATCCCCCACCTCCCTTTACTCACTTGCTTTCCATTGTTCTTTCAACATTTAGACCTTAGCTGAAAGGGTTAGGGAAATGCCCCTTTGATAAAATTTGGCTTTGAAATGATGTGATTTTTCTTTTATCTAAGACTGCACAGGGTTACTTTCTCACTACAAACATCTCTAGGCTTTTTATCATGAAGTATTCTGTCAAAGTTAGGGAATCTAAAGACAGAATTAGTCTTTTGGTCCAGAGGTCATTTTTGGCATACCCTTCTCTGGCCCTAACTTTCTATAGGAATGCAAGTATGAGGGGCTTCCTTGTCCCAAGTACGGAGAAGCAGAGAGGGCCAGCTGCAGAAACAGATTTCAGCACGGGCTTTTTCTCAGATGCCTTCTAACATTTTCATAAGGGATTACTCTCTGTTTACACTGCAACCATTATTCTCTTGGACTGGAGGAGGCTCTGGATGTAATTCTTCTAAAATTACATTAAACAATTACAGGGGACACACATTCTTGGAGCTGAAGTTTGTGCTACCCACAGAACACCCTGTTTTCCAGAACTAGCTGGAAAATCTCTGTGAAGCCTGAAAATGCTGTAACCCAGCACAGCCAACTTCTGTGTCTACTCCATCTATGTCTATGTGTCAACTTCTTTGTCTCCTCCAACTGAAAACTAAGGAGGGAGGCACACACTTCACATCCAGGCTTGGGAAGTTTTCCCAGCTGACATTAGTTCAGGCTTTCTTATAGAACCTCAAGAAGAGACTAAAGCACTGGCCAAGCTCCTTGTTCTTGGGTTCAGAGTGCCTGTGTGGAAGGACTAGGGTTTACATCCTTATCTCCAGAGTCCAGATCCTGTGTTCTTTCCACTACACTAACTAGAACTGAAATTTGGGTGCCGAATAAGCCTGATTTGGAAGCTATACAAATTCAAAAGGAGATGGTTTTCCTATTCAGCATCTTAAAATTGGCTAGATCTAGAAACTGGGCAGATCCAATCTTAACTGCTAAGCTCAGGGCCTCTAAGTCTTTTAAGGCCCTTTGAGTCCTCTTGGAGAAATGCTCTCAGGACTACTCTTTCTTCCTTCTCTGAAAAAGAGGTCCCATTCTGACCCACTGTTCCATTCCAAATGAGCATGTGGTTAGATGTGGATAGCTGGCCTCTTTATAGGCCTTTCTTGGGTTGTTGGTAGGTTTTTTAGATATAAGGAATTATTCTTTTTTCTATTTTTAATTTTTTATTGATTCTTTGTGAATTTCACATCATTCACCCTAATCCCACCCATCTCCTACCCCTCCATATCCACCCTCTGTCCTTGCAACCTCTCCCCAAGAGAAAACAAACAAACAAGCAAACAAGCAAACATCTCTCCATTGTATCACACAGTCTACCCTTTTACCCAAACAGCTTTTCTTGCAAATGATCATTGCAGTGAGTGATTGGTCTGGTTCAAGGCCTCTAGGTGAAGCATTATTCTTAAAGGAGGGACTGATAAATCGGGACAGAATTCTCTAAACTAAAATATGTGAGGAATGAGTTGTTGAAGCCAGTAAGAAAGTGTTTAAAGGGAAGATGACCTGGTTGTCATTGTGTTGTTGTTGTTGTTGTTGTTGTTGTTGTTGTTGTTGTTGTTTGATTTGGGGGTTTCATTTGTTTGTTTCCCAACTTGACACAAGTTAGAGTTATTTGAGAAGCAGAACCTCAATTAAGAAAATGCCTCCAACTGATTGTCTGTAGGCAACTCTGTGGGGCATTTTCTTGATCAGTGATTGGTGTGGGTAGGCCCGTTCATGGCAGGTGGGTGGTGACACCCCTGGGCAGGTGGTTGTATAAGAAAGCAGACTGAAGAAGCCATGGGGAGCAAGCCAGTAAGCAGTGTTCCTCTGTAATCTCTGCTTTGATTCCTACCTCCAAGTTCCTGCCTTGAGTTGTTACTTTGGCTTCCCTCAAAGGACTGTGACTCAGTGTATATAAGCAAAAAGAAACAAAACAAACAAAACCGCACCTTCTTTCCCAAGTTGTTTTTGGTCATGGTGCTTTATTGTAGAAACCCTAAGACAAAAGGTAAAGAAATTGATATTTGAAATTGAGGAACTGACTCAGGAGAGGGCATTGTAAAAGATTTCCAATCCTGGGACTCCCATTAAAATTCTAAGACAGGAGAAAGAGGAGATAGAAGCCTACCCATGACCACCTACAGCCCTTCGGTGAGTCTGCTCCAAAAAGAACAAGTGTATTAGGAGGAACAGTTATGATGCACTTACCATGACCACAGCTTAGAGGAACTGTTAGAAGGACTAGAAAATGAAATGGGAGGGCTGAGATTGTTCTGGAAAGACAGAGAGAAAGGAGGAAAGGTTGGAGTACAGGATAAACCATGCGTTTGAGAATACAGCCTCTAAAGAAAATCTCTGGGAAGGTGGATTATTTGGCCTGCAATGATAGAAATTGATAGGTAACCTAATATCTTTGAGTATATGAGGCGTTGTGTATATGGTGGTAACTACTCTTCTGTAGCTACACAAAGAATCGAATAAAATTTCAAACCGCCACAGGAAGGGTTTCAGTTAAATATACCGAAGAACTTCCTAACCGTGAGCAGTGAGAGGTGATCAACACTGGAACATGTAACCAAGAGTTTGCAGAATTTCCATTCTCAGTTTAAAAATAGAGTTTAGAGAGGTCAGCTGAGAAAGCAGAGCCTTCCGCCTCCTCATCAGGTCTCTCTGCCTGTGATTTCTTCTTTTCTGTTGTTTCTTGATATCTTCACTCTCTCACCCTCTCTCTCCATCTCCATTTCCAAAATTCCTTCCCACTCCTCTTTTCAGCCAGTGTTGCCCCTATCCATCCCCATCTCCTGCACATCTGAGTCCTGACATCTTCCTGGGATCAGACTTCCACTAGCCTTCTGTTAATAATAGCAAGTCCGTGCAACTGAACAGCTAAAATGAAGTCCTGCACTTATCAACAATAATCAAATTCTAAAAAGAAACATAAAGTGACCCCTAAGTCTGAGTTTCTAATAGTCCTTTAGACTCAAATCAGAACCTCTTTTTTGAAGTCTTGCCTGACCTGTTTCAGCATTTGGTCTACCTCATTAATGTGGCACTCCTAATATCTTAGAACCTTTTCCCTACTGTGCTGGGATCCTTGAGAACTGTTTATTTCTGTGTCCTCTAATCTATTTGGAAATATAGTACAGAAAAGGGATTATAAGCATGTCCCACTCTTTAGCAAAAACTTGTGTCATTGAATTCTCTAGAACTCCCTGAAAGCACACTCCTGCCTATACTCTTTTGACAGTTAAATAGCTTCAAATGTAACACTGAATCCTGTGTTTTAGGAAAGAAGGCAGGGCCACCTGGGCCCAATGGCCCCCCAGGACCTCCAGGACCTCCAGGACCCCAGGGACCTCCAGGGATTCCAGGAATTCCTGGGATTCCAGGAACAACTGTTATGGGACCACCTGGCCCTCCTGGCCCTCCTGGTCCTCAAGGACCCCCTGGCCTCCAAGGACCTTCTGGTGAGTTCTTCTGTCTCCCACCCCTTAGAAAACTTGTCAGTATTTTGTAGAGTAGGAACAGGTAATCTTCAGGGAAATTTCAAACAATGGCAATGTACAGTAAGAAATCCCTAGTCCAGTGTAGAGGTAGGAACTGAACAAGCTCTGATAGGATCTGGCCTGCTCTAAGTCTTGTTGAGTTCAAGCTGCGCCAGACAGGCCATCTGTTCTTGCCCCACGCCAATCCTTCCATCACATTCCATCTTTGGCTCTAGTTCTCCATATAGTTAGCCAATAAGTTCATATGAGCCAAAAACAGAGGTATGAAAAAGAGGTCCCAGCCATTCACTGGAGTTCCTGTAGTTATAGATTTGGCTTACTCTGATTTCCAGCATAGAGCACCAAATGACATTTGCATGGAAATAGTTTGTGGGAGGAATATTGGGGACTGGACAAAATGGCAACCCTATTATAATTTCTTCCCTTTGAGACTTTGAGAGTCCTTTCCTACTAGTGTAGTCAAATAGCCCCTTCTAGTCGAGTGATTAGAAATTTATGAATCACTCAAGCTGTGTCTAACAAAACCAGACACCAAGACCTCCCTGTCCCTAAGCCAAATGCTTCTCACACTAGACCCTTAAATAATCATGCTGCTCATTCAAATGCCATTCCATCCCTTTGCATCTTTCTCCTGGAGCCCAGTAGGGCATGCAACAGGTATAGCTGCAGATCCAGACCTGCCTAATTAGAGTTGACAGGAGAAAGACTGACTGAACTCACGCTACTTGCTATGTTTTTCTCCCACTCCCCTCCTGTATCTTGAGGTTTTCTTAAACCTGCCTTCTCCAGGTCTAAGAATTCAACAGCAGGATTCAGATTCTTTCACTTGTAATTCAAACAGGCTCAGCAGTGTTACCATGGCCACAAGAGATAAAAGTTTTTTTTAAATCCAATCATTCCACAAATATTAATTGAACAATTTCTGTGTACAAAGAGATATATTGCTAAGTGGTCCCTGTTCTCATAGAGTTTATTTCCTCGAGTCAAAGAGACACACTTAAAGAAATGAGATCTTTATAAATGACAGTGGCCCTTGTGAAATAGGTAAGAAGAGAATAAAGGGCTAGAATAGCAAGTACCATTGTCTTGAGGACATACAATGACACACACAGCCTCTCTTTCCTCTCCTTTGGGTGCTCAATAGGGCTTGCCTTGGGCCAATATTGGCCAGAGGCCAACTTCCCTGCTGGAATCTGGACCCTCTGAAGATGAAGTTCTGTCGGGACAGGAATGGGAAGGAGGGGATGTTCTCTCCCATTGGCAGCCCCATGTTGTACTGTGACTCCCTCCAGCTGTAAGACCTGGAAAAGGAAATTCCTACAGGGCTGGCTGTGGAATTGAGGCTCTGAAGCCCTGGTTGCTGAAATGGGAAAGGGGAGTAGAAAAGAGCACAGCGCTCTGACTACCCTATCCTATTTTGCAGGTGCTGCTGATAAAACTGGAACTCGGGAAAACCAGGTTGGCTGGGGATTATTGTCTTCCAGGGGAGGAGGGATGGCCTCAGGCTTGGGGTCACCTTGAAGTCCTCTGCCTATGAAATTCCCAGAGGCTTTATTTTCTGTCACCCTGGAGGTTCTGAGGTTTTCACTGGCAGTCAAGGTCTATGAATTGAAAAGTTTCACCCCAAGGGTGTGCTTTTAGCTAAGGGAACACAGTCTTGCCTTGACCATTTTACTCATTTCATGAGTGACAGAGGGTCAGTACAGCCAGATCCAATAGTCCATAGAAATAGCCTGCCTGTCAGGTCTATATGCCTAGGCCTCTGACTTCCAAACCACCCCAGATGCCTGATGGCATTCAAACTGCCTAGAATCTGAAGCTGAGAGTTTGTGTGTCCATGAAAAGCAGCCAACTAGCTATAGGCTGAGGCCAGCCTGGGCTTCCCTCTTAATGGCCTTATAGATTCCCTCCTGGTCCTTGATTTTCCCAATCTGTGTCTTTTGGCAGGTTCTACTACCTAGCCTCATATCGTCCCTTCCCAGCAACTAGCCTCACTACACTCACTTGGCCACAGTGATAAACCTACACAGTTGCACCGTCCTTATATTTTGTGGGCAATTTTATATTCACTACCTTTTTAAATCTTGCCCTGTGAAAGTGGCCAGCAGAAATTTGTATAATTCCCACTTTACAGTTGGGGGAAATAACGCTCAGAGGCATCACATTTGGCTGAAGGCCACATGGTAAAGAAGTGGTAGAACTATCGAGTCTTACTATATTTTAGGAGAAATATAGCTACTAATATCCCAAGACAGAGGTGGAGGGACCAGAACTGGGATACAAAGAGTCTAGAAGCCAGAGGTAAAAACACAGGACTGCAGGACACGGCAAGCGGCCATTACAGTGACTCTCTTCTTCTCATCTTCTCAGCCTGCTGTGGTGCATCTGCAGGGCCAAGGGTCAGCAATTCAAGTCAAAAATGGTAAGAATCAAAGTAGTCTCTCTCCCTACTAAGTTTCTCCCTTCCCTCATTCCCAACCTCCAAATAATCAGCCAGCCTAGCTCCTCCCAAATCCCTGAATATCCTTGGCATAGAAGGGCATTTCCTACTCCGTCCTGCCCTCTACTGGCTGTCTTAAGTAACTGCTTGCACCAAGACCAGATGCTACACCCAAATTGTGTTTAATTTTGTTTTTGCAGTATAAGGGGGCCAACCCAGGGCCTCGTGAATGCTAACCAAACATGCTTCCTTTGAACTACATCTTCAGCCCCTAAGTCGTGTTTAGAATCCACTAATGTAGGATCTGAAAAGGATTTGGGAAACCATCTACAAAGGCTGACTTGATGGTTATATCAGTCACCATGGAAATATATGTAATTTGATAAGCACTTTCACAGTGCAAACTAAGGAAGTTAGAACCATATTACATAAATTATTTTGTCTGATTGCTCTATACAGAGAATGGCTGGAGAGAGTGCTTCTCCCAGAGAAGGGGACATGTTAGTGTCTAGGAAGTAAGAGACATTAGTGTCTATCAAAAGCAAAAACATGTTAATGGGACTTAGAAAAGCTGATTTAATGTTATACCTTCATTTATGAGATAGGGAGACAGAGTCCCAAAAGAGACTAGAAATACCAAAGTAAACCATACCGCCTTATGTTTGCATGGTACTTTAGAATTCCCAAATGGTTTGTCTTTTTATTTAATCTTCACAACCACCCTATGAAGTAGGTATTGCAATGCTCCTTTTTTTTTTTACAGCCACAGAAACTAAAGCTCAGAGAACTTAATTTAACTAGCCCAAGATTTTGTAGTTAAGTTAGGAGCTGAGATTCAAAACCATATCTTTCTAGCTCTCAGCACTGTGCTATGCTGCTTCAGTGATGTGTGTGTACACTCCACTGAGTGATTAGGTTCATTTTCTTCCCCCAAAGAGACATGAACGTTCATTAAAGAACAGCGCTTTGAAATAATGTCCAGTCTCCAGGGTGCCGAAAGCCTAAAATGCATGAACCCCCAGGAGTCTTGGAAAGCAGCAAGCCAGCCAACATACCAGCTACTTACAGAACTTGGAATGGAAGGGAGGGGCTGTGGGCAGAAACAGTAAATGAAGGTTACAAAACCTCTACTTGGGGACAGCTTCTAAGAACACAGTCAGTCCTGAAGTGTCTGTGCTGAGTTCCTCTCATCATTGGAGTTAGCTACTCCCTTGACTGTCACTTGAAAACCTAGTCTAATAGCCTCCCAAATACACGTAGGAGTACGGGAAGAGGAAAACACCAGCAGCCCTGTGGGAGGCCAAGCACTGTGGGACCCAGGGTCCTGGGTGGGCCAAAATCACCATCCTTCCTGGAAGAACATGGTCAGACAGGAAATAGATTTGTTTGGGTATCTAAGTGGTGGCTTTAGTGATCATTCTATGCAAAAGCTGTTCATTTTGCCTCCACTACCATAACAGAGTGAGATAATTTCCAGTCCCTGTGAGCAAATTCCCAGTAGTAGTTTCTGCTGACCAGCAGACATGAGGAGCAAGGCCACAGTAAGTGGACACTAGGCAGAGCAGTCCACAAAAGTACTGGAGCCAGGACTCCGATGGCTTTTTTTTTCCACCATGCATGAGAGAGGTAGACCTTCTGAGACTGGCCAAGAATGGATGTTTAAAACATAATCTTTTTGTGTGAAGAACAAATGACTGAGAGAAAATGCCTCTGTGAACTTAGTTTACCTCTTCTTATGGTAGGAAGAAACAGCTTTCAATCTGCAAGACGGGAGGAGAAATAGTTCTCCATCTTCTCATGCTTGTGTCCTCAGCTGAATTAAGGATATGAAACAAATGCTTTGCCAAGGGTGCCTCAACTCCTAGGCACATTCAGTCTACTGAAACCTGGCAGGCTATCCCCCAGTATTGTAAAGCTCACCCTCTTTGAGGCCTGGTTACTGGCAGTCACTCTCCCCAGCTGCCTTGGAGTCTGAGTGATCACCCCATACTGAATTACCACCATCTAGTTCTCCAGACAGATGGGATTGTTTGATTAAGTGGTTTCCTGGGGCCCTCGGGAGGCTTCCCAGAAAAGAGTGGGTGTGGAGGAGCCATAGAAAAGAATCTATTAAGAAGAGACAAAAACATAGGAGCCTCTGAGACAAGAGAGGAATTCGGGTGATATTGCTAGCAAAGTGAAATTGAATACTAAGACTTAGCCTGCCACTCAGTGTCTGGATTTTGCCTGTGCAGTCACCATAACAACAAAGAAAATATGGCCATATGCCTACTCTCCTCTTTAACCATCGCCCCCTCAGGTTCCAGCTAGAAGGTAAAGAGCCTTATTGATGGAATGGTCAAGAATGCAAGAGTAAAGACTGATGTGCAGATCGATAGGCCCCCAGGCAAGCCTAGAAGCCACTTTACAAACAGTACACCTTTCCTGCTTCCAAACATTCTTTTAAAATCTTGGCCCTTGAAACTTTTGTGGTCATTGGTGTTAGATAGGGTTGTGGGGAAGGGGGGTTATTGCTTGGTATTTATTTCTGTTGCCCAGATTGTTTTGACATGTACTGAGTGACTGCCCTTCTCTCATACTGAGATCTTTCAGGTGGAGTGCTCAATGACTGGTCTCGCATCACTATGAACCCCAAGGTGTTTAAGCTACATCCCCGCAGCGGGGAGCTGGAGGTACTGGTGGACGGCACCTACTTCATCTATAGTCAGGTAGAAGTGAGTACGGTCTTAGGCCTAACTCTTCTTATATCCAGGGTGCAGATATGGTGCAGGCCACCTAGGGGCACTGTGGAGCAAGCCAAAAGCATCCAATGGCTAACTTCCTGCCGTGCTGGAGAAAGGGGTGGCGGACTTCACACTGGGAGGGAGTTGAAGGGAGGAAAGACCCAGGAACTCATTTCATTTTCCCCCTAGAAAAATATCACTGAAAAATTGTAAAGAGGCCTCTCCCACACCCTGCTCTCTGATCCCCTCTTACAGGGCCCCAGGCCCTCATTTCCCCTCTGAGCTGTTTGGTTCCACAGATGGACCTGACCTTGCTCTAAGGTTTTAAGACTAAGTTCCAGCGCTGCGGAGACCCCTCCCCACAACACTGCTAGCGTGGGCGTGATAATGAACAGTGCTCCTGTGAACCTTCTCTCTACCTCAAGAAGATTTCTGACTGTCTTTCCTTCCTCTTTCTCCCATTTGTTTCTGTCTGTTTCTGTTGTTGTCACTCCTTCTTGCTGTCATTCTCCCAGACCTTTGTCCCCTCCACTTTTGTCCTTCTCCTACCCTGGGCCCAGTCCCCACAGGTCTGCCAGTGGCCATTCATTTCCATCCCTCATTGTGTGCCTCCATCCAGGCTCTCAGAGCTACAAGTACATAGGCCTTGAGGTCAGGGTTTCCAAGAGTCAGGCAGCAAGCAGGCAGATGAACAGGACTACGGAACTGACACATGGCTCTCAAGAAAAAGGGACTAGAGAAGTTGGGTTAACCTAACCAGCACCCGTCTGGCACACAGAGGATCGTTTCATTGCTTGGTTCTGAACCAAGAGATGATGTGCCATTTAAACAGGCTGCTCCCGATTAAAGAGCCTGTGGAGTCACTTTTATGATGTGATTTAAGGCGTCAAATGAAGGACAGTTCCCATTCCTATGGGGCACATGGGCATAACCCCAATATCCTGTGGACTAAATTCCATTTAGTAGTTTGGAGAAGTCGGAGCTGAAGGCGGGATGTGCTGGCAAAAGGTAACGGAGGATGGAGATTAAATGTCTGGACTCAGGAGAGGACTAGGAATGAGTGAGCTACATGAGCTAAGAATGAAGTTAGGCGCCTAGGATTCACATCCACTGTCTCATTTGTATAGGCCCCATCTCTCAGGATCTGCTTCTTCATTCAGCAAGAGAGAGGGCTGAATCAGGGAGAACTGCAGGACAGAAGAGTACACCAGGAGCTTAGGAAGCTCCTGTTCACAGCCTAGAGAAATGGGAAGTCAGTACTGTGACCTCCCTGGGGCACCAGAGATTTCTAAGTGTATTCTTAAATTGGCTTTCATGTGAGGAAGTTGGTGTATCCAGAGCATTGATTAAGCACCTGAGGCGAGTGAAGCACTTCTTCGTGCCAGGGTTATGGAGTGGAGCCAGCAAAATGGCACATAAGGCTGTTCTCGGCCTTAGGCAGTCTTTAAGAAAGGTTTGCTCAGGCCTCTGAACTCGTGGAGTAGGGGAAGGGCAGTGTGATCCTGTCACCCTGCTGTTCCTACCAACCAACAGGCACACTTTCAGGTGGCACTGCCCCTGCACAGGGTATACTGGCAGCTCATCTGAGGAGGTTTTATCTGCTCACCAGGGGAGGGCCCCACCCTCTTTTTCCTCTCTCCCCCAATCCCTTCTCATTGCCTCTCACCCAGGTGTACTACATCAACTTCACTGACTTTGCCAGCTACGAGGTGGTGGTGGATGAGAAGCCCTTCCTGCAGTGCACCCGCAGCATCGAGACAGGAAAGACCAACTACAACACTTGCTATACTGCAGGCGTGTGCCTCCTCAAGGCCAGGCAGAAAATTGCCGTGAAGATGGTCCATGCTGACATCTCTATCAATATGAGCAAGCACACCACGTTCTTTGGTGCCATCAGGCTGGGCGAAGCCCCTGCATCCTAGATTCTCCCATTCCACCCTGGCCCATGCCCCTGCCCCAGGTTTGGGAGCCAGGACTCCCAGAACCTCTAAGTGCTGCTGTGTGTGGAATGAGGTATATTGGCGTTGCAGCCACAGAGAGAAATGCCCCGTGCTATTTATTCCCCAGTGACTCCAGGATGACAAGGCCTAGATGACTTCCCAGAATGACCTTGAGTTGCCAGGACAGTTGATGGAGCCGCCAAGGTTTTCAAGAAGCAGAACCTTCTTAGGCTCCCTGCTGACTGGCTTATGGTGACTCCTCAATCCCTAGGTCCCTCATCAGATGTATCATTTGTTGCACTAAAATGAGGATGCAAGACAGTAGGCCACAAAAAGCAAAAGTGCACTCCAGATTCTAGGGGTGATGGGGGGCTGCTTCACTCCTGGCTGGGGGTGGCATTAAGTTGCAACTTAAGGAGAGGGTCAGGTCAGAAGAAGGCAAGTCCTTGTGGCAAAGACCTGGGCTATAACCTGCCAAGTATCTATCCTTGGCAGAAGAGGCATTCTTGCTGCATTGCACTATAACCTACTAGAGGATCAAAGAAAACTTCCCACTCAGGCTGAGAGATGTACTGTGGCAGCTTGCTGGACTCCAGAGCTGGAAACTTTGCTTTGCCTTGGAATCATTGCAGGAATGGCCACAAGCCTGCCTATGTAAGAAGCCAAATCTATATTCAGGGCCATGCATGTTTCACTGTGTTTACAGCTATGTTCTGCTCTCAGAAAACTACCTGGAGTCTTTCCACCTGTCACCCTCCCCAGACTGACTAGAAATTGTATCTTCTTTCTCCACAGTGCCTACCTCTGATTGAGACAGGTGCTTCACGGTGTATTCTTTAACTTACCTGAACACAAAGAATTTTCCATTGATTAGGCAATACAATTATTATTCATCTAATTCTAATCAAAGTGTGTCCGGGAACAGATGGTTAAACTGGATAACCTCCAAAAATCCCTTAGAGTTTGAGTACAGGTGTCGCTCAACAGTTGCCTGCCACAGTAGATGTCAGAATTCCCAAACCCTAGACTCCCTTGGCCATCAGCAAAGCATGGCTTTTCTAACTTTCCCAGAGAGGGGGAAAAAGTGGGGTTAGGACAGGAAATGTTGTCCATGTTTGTTAAAACCCAAGATCTTATCTGAAAGAACAGCACGTGATGGCCCACGAGCCCAGTCTCTCTGTGCCACTCTCCTAGAGCCAGGCTCAAGAGAAACCATCTGTCTGGCTATTGGGCAGGGCTATGACACCTACTTCAGATCCAAAGGCACCACCACCAGTTTTCCTGCATGGTCATATGCTAGATTCATGAGCCTTCTTTCTAGTTGCCTGGCTTTAGGGTACCAGGCATAGCCCAAAGCTGGAAGGATCAACCTTCTCTAGCCTGTTTCTCTTGCTCCTGAAGTGTATTTCTTTTAGAAGAGATGGGGAATACATCCCTGAAATTCATCAAGAATATCAGGTACTGATTTTTCAGCTGTCCCTCCATTTCCAATTTGCCACATTCGTTGGTTCTTCAAGGGTCAGGACAAGAAGTGGTAGGCCAAGGCACCTTTATCTAATGCTACTGACAGCCTTACAACCAGAAATGAGGTCAATTTTAGACATGCATCTGACCCTGGAGGCCTTGAACAATCAGCAGTGGTAGCATGAACTAACAGACACTCTTCTTAATGTTTGAAGGTTGCTTCCTCTTAATTTCCTTTGAAGAAGATGGGGCAGAGAATTATCACAGTTCCCATTGTATAGGTAAGGCTAGAAGAGAAAGTGAATTCACTAAGCACTCACCCATAAGTCACACAGACCTTAGGTTTTAGTGAGGTCTGACTCCCAAGCTAGTCTTTTACCACACAGAGCACTGTGTAGAGAGAAAAATTGAAAGTGATCACTTGGAACTGACATCATTGTGGAGTCCTAGGGAGAAACCTAGCAATGCTCAGTTTTCATTGCTATGGTGCTGCCTATTCTCTTGGCTGCCATCGGCTCTGTGGAAGAAGTCTTGGGTTTCTAACCCTGAGTTGAGCTCTGGGACCCATAGAACTGGTAGCCTTCATGACCTTTCACCCATCTGATAAAAGCAGCAGCCATCACACAAGGAGCTGCTATGTGGGGCAAGGTCATCTGTCTTCCATTCCTGACCCTAGATACTAGTTCTGGGAGCCAGTCTACTTCCTGGGGTTAAGTGTGACCCCTTCTCTCCTCCTGACATATTACAAAGACCTTGATGTTGCCAGAACATCTTCCTCATGTTGATGATGTTGAGGGGTTGCCCTCTCAAGAATGGAGGTAAAACCTAAGAGGACCATTCTAAAGCCAGATGGCTGTGGGGAAATAGAGGAAGTTGCCTAACTGTGCCCCTGCAGGACATGCCAACCCCATCATATGCTCTGTGCATGGAGATCATAGGAGAAGCAGACTTCTCTACTCTTTCTTCATTCTGAACCCTCTCAAGGAGCCCCAGATGAAGAGGGCTGGGGGAAGGAAATAGAGAGTGGGGAGCCTGCTATGCTATGGTCCTTGGCAAAGTAATGAAGCATTTACTGATAGGAGAATAGGGATATAGATTTACAGTTTGGAATTGTTGTGGTATAAAGTTATCCCAAGGTTAGCATAGAGAAGAGGATGGGGACATGTTTGTGTAAGCAGGTGATGTGTTAGAAGAAAAATTGCATGGCAGGAGCCTCTACCAGCTGCTTGAGCTTCAAAAGCCAAGCTGGCACAAAATTGTACCTGCTGGATGTTTTTTGGCTACTGGTTCCCTGGAAGATGTATCATTTGCCTTACTTGCCTCTTTATCCATCCTGAGCCTAATCTCTGCAGCTTAATAAGAAAAGGCTAAGGACCCTAGAGACAAACAAGGGCTTTGGTCCTCATGTGAGTGCTTGCATTTTATGTGTCTTCTAGTGGATGCAAACAGATATAGAGAAATCTTTGACCTAGAAAGGCTTTTAGAGGGAATGCAGCCCAACCTACATCCCATCCTGTTACTCATATGCAATTGATGTCCAGACAGGGAAACTGGCCCACCTAGGACAGTGTGCAGGCAGGCCCCCACCTCCAGATTCAGCAGTAGAAGGAGGCAGAGCAGCCTGTCCCATGGGGCCTCCTCTTTCATACACCACAGACTCAACGCTAGAAGTGTTTATCTCCCTTCGGGAGCCTGTCTAGGCAGGGAGTGTGGCTACAGTCTCCATCAAAGCTTGCCTCCCCACACATAGTCCCCCAAGATATTTGCACACCTCCTGCCTCTGCACGAGAAGCTCTAGGCTCTGATCCAGACAGTTTTTAGGCCTCCCTAGTGTGGCCTGAGGTCCCACCCTTGCCTAGGCTCTCCCTGGGCCATGCCTACTACAGAACATGATTTGTTTTCTTAATTCATTTCAGGGCTCTCTCCAGGAGAGGGTGAGGTGTGTCATTTCTTTATTCAGAAAGCTTCCAGCTGATGAGGATAAGGGGAGAATGGCCTGAAGCAGGCCCAATGCTGCTTTGGGGAATCAGCATCCTGTGTGAGATACTGTGTATATAAACTATATATATAATGTATATAAACAGGGTTGTAAGTTTGTGTAAATTAATGGTTTATTCTTTGCAAATAAAGTGCTCCCCTTACCATCCTTGAAATCATCTTGAGCCCTTCCCACATGACACATGCTTCTTCATAAATGATGCCACCACAAATGAGCTCTGGGGGAGGATCAAGAAACCCACTTTGGTGAGAGCACCAGAAGAAAGCTGGTCCAAAAATCCTATCAGTGGATCCCACGTGTTCTCTCTGCACTAAACTACATACTTCCACCCTATTCACTTTTAGCTCTTCTAGAACCATAAGTCTCGGGGGCTTGATGTGTTGCCAGAAGGCATATTGTCACAGGACAAGAACACACAGCATGGGACTACTTTCAACTTGAGTGTGGCATCTATAGCACTCCAAGCCTTCCCCAAACAGCTTGGAGACATCCAACCTTTGACTCCTCAATTAATATACACATTGACTCATTTACAGACAAAACGAATGCTCAAGGCTGTTAAGTAGCTCCCCCAAGACCACTCAACTAGTAAGTATCTCAGCCTGGCTTGTTCCCTGATATGCTTTCCACTGTGCCATGCTGCCTCTACTGCCTGACCCTATGCTGTTTGCTGGGAGGTATTCTAAGGAAGGAGATCACAAGAATAGCAGCCAGTAAGTAATGGGTAGCTCAGAATAATTATGGGAACTTTTCACAATCCAAGCAACTTTGGCCAATTATGGAGAATAAGACCCTCAAGTAATGTGAATGAGCCCACAATGGCCAGATAAGCATGGCTTGAATATTGGTACCCAGGTTCATCCTCTCGCTGATTTGGAGAAAGGGTTTCAGTCACAGAAGCCTGGAAAACTTAAGAACATCTTTGGATGTCACTCAGTGGTAGATCATATCTTTAGTATGAGACCCTGGGTTTTATGCCCAGCACCCCCAAATAATAATAATAATAATAATAATAATAATACCACCTTAGGGAAGCTCAAGGAAAGTAGAACCTCTGGCACAAGGAACAGCACAGGCAGAAAACAGCAGGAAACCACACATTTTGCCATACCATGTACAAACAACCACATGAGATAGGCATTCAGGACAGAGGCAGAGTGTACACTGTAATAAGTACACAACCAACTTGATAAACTTGATGTGGGTAAAGAATTGGACCAGATGACATCAATCCAAGAGGGCCTATGCACTGAATTGTGTAATATGTGATTGCAACAACCATTGGACTAAGAGTATGAGAGACTTGCCACTCAGAGACTCAGAAAGCAAGTTTTTCATCGGTACTGGAAGCCAGGTATCCCATTTGACTGTCAAAGAGCAGAGGTAACAGGGCCAAGCTAGTGCATGCAAGTTTCTGAGGGGAAATTGGGAAATTAGATCTAAATCACTGACCATTGTAGTCCGGCTTTAAGAGATGGGAAGTAGGTATGGACAAGGGTCACTAAGGGATATAAAATGACTTCAACTTTCAACACACCACCTTGTACTTTCTTTTAGAAATTAAGGCATCATGAACCTTAGGACATTATTTTCTTAGGGACGACAAATGGATTAGCTCACTGGAAGAGAATAATTTTGTGTCGCTCTTCAGTTTATCATGTTTAGTCACATGTAGTAGTAGCATTTAAACTTGACAGAAACTTTTGAGGTAAGCAAGAGAAGGATTGTTAGTCCCATTTTACAGTTGAAGAAACAGGATAAGAGGTGCTGGATTGCTCCTGAGAACATGCTATTGACTGAACCCAATGTCCCCTGGCTATTGAGATACCCAGTCCTGTAAGAGTCTTGAAGCCAGGACAATGACAGACACACACAAGGTCCTAGAGCCCTCCAAACAAGCTAGCTGGAGCACACAGTACCAGAGATGGGCTGTTTATTTTATCCACAGGTTTCTTTGCTGCTAATGCTTTCATGAAACTTCAGTAGACCTCTGCCTAGGGTCTTCTCTGTCTCAGGGGGAAAGGATAAAAACTAAGAGAAAGAAATGGAGGTGAAAAATAATGGGCACAGAAAACAACCACATGGATGCACACCCCCACTTCCCTCCAATGAGAACTGGTCAAGTCAGAAGTGAAGCTCCATAGGTAACTTTGGCCTGTTGTCATCGGTTCCACACCATCCAGTCAAGGGAATGTCTTTCAAACTATCACCAGCTCCTGGGTCTCTGAGATCCCAAACTTGGTCTTATGCTCATCAAACAATTTGCGTAGGGCATCAATATAGAGTGTGTGGTATTTGGCCACAGTCTCCTGGCTCGGATTCTCAATCTTGGGCAATGGTAGAGGTTCCCCAACTGCCAAAGGGGATGGAAAAGGAAAGGGGAAATGGAAAAACATCAGAATAGCTTACTCCTAGGGACAGCCTGGAGCCCAGCTGACCCTGACCCTCTTGCTCATCACTTCCTAGACAGCCTCCCCGCCTCCAACCCCAGTTGGAGCTGAGGCTCAGCCACAGAAATGGATCCTAGAACTTAAACTAAGCCTTCTAATACAAAGACCCACTCACCAACAGTGGTTACTGGCTGAGAATAGGGCAGAAGGCCCCGGGAGTTCTTGGTGAGGCCACGTCCGTAGAAAGCACAGGGGTAGATGTGTACCATCTTCTGGAACAACTTCTGGAATCGATTTGCAAAGCCCCCAGGAACAAAAATGTGCTGTTTGTAAAGGTCTGTCTCTCCAAAGGCATAAGCGGGGATTAGAGACACCCTGCAGAAGAAGACAGGCTAAGCACCAGCATCACCTGGGTTTACCTACAGGCTCCCTAGACTTCAAGTCCATCTGTATCAGGGTCCCAGCTAACTATGGTGCCCCATGGCCTAGACTAGATTGCGTTTAGGGACAAAGCAGCAGCTTTCACAAGGGAGCAAGCACAGTGAATCCTCGGAATACCCAAATCTGAACCACTTGTCTGAAAACGCCCAAAGTCCATTTCATATACTTTCTTCCCCTTATGCCACATGGTAAGAAGTTTGGCTTTCTCTGCCCTAAGGTGCAACCCCAGTGCTTTTGTAGAGAAACTAGCTTGAATGAGAGGCTAGTGCAAGGCCTCCAGGACAGCACCCCACACAGCTCTATTGCAGCCCATAGGTATCTTTTCCCCCTTTGTACTTTTCTTTATTTTTAACTAACAAAATTGAATACAATTTGTTAAACAGAAAGCTGGAGAGGTAGTTCAGTTAGTAAAGTGGTTTTATATGCAGGCATGAGGACCTGAGTTTAATGCCCAGAATCCACATTTAAAAAAAAAAAGCCACATATGGAAACGTGCCTGTAATCCAAGTGATAGGGAAGTAGAGATGGGTGTATCTTTAAGGCTTGTTGGCTCAGCCTACTCTACCATGTAAATTCCAGGCCAGTGTCCTGTCTCAAAAAGTGAAGACATACACACACACACACACACATACACACACACACACACTTGCACATGTCACATACTACATATATTTTTATGGTAGTTCTATTTAGTAACAATGGTTTGCATATTTCTTCCTTTCTCTTTAAATACCACTTCCTCAAACCCCAGTATTCTTCCCTGCTGAACTTTTGGACAGCCTCCCCACTCCATCCCACCCCATGTCCCTGCAACTATCCTTACCCATGTCGAAGGGCTGTGCGCACAAAGCCTTGCCGCTTCTTCAAGAACAGGGTGGTAGAGCCTGGTGTGCTGTATTTGCACTCAGCCAGGCCACCAACCACCACAACAAGCATGTTGCCTGTGCCCTTCTGGGTAAGCAGAAAGTCCATAGAGGATTGACTTACAGAACAGGACCCTGGTGTGCAGAAAAAGCCAAAGGTCATTGGTTATTTACCAATCCTTGTAAACTATCCCTCCCCACTTCCATGAATACAAGGAGCATTTTCTCCAGCCTGTAATTTGGGGAATCTGGTTAGCACCTGAGACAATCTCGGATTTGACCTTGCTCTCACCCATCCCCTGGTTCTCCTCTATGTGGCTTTATCCCTTACGAGCCACTCACCTGTAGACATTATATACTCTCTGAGGAAAGGCACCCAGAAAAAAGCTCCTAGTGTGAGCATATATGGAGTGATACCAGGAAAGGTCTTAGGAAAGCCTGTTGTGTCGGTGGCAAAGTGACCAAAACATGAGTGGGCCATGATCCCATGAGGATGGCACGCAAGGATGTAGTTGTGGTTGGGTGAAATATCCTTTGTCTTCACAATCTGTAGAGGAAAGTGGAGACAGGAGAGCTGGAGGCAGAGAAAAATGACTTATCTTTTGGCCAGAGAAATGGAAGAGAAAGGACTGTGAATTCCAGCAATTCAGGCTGGACAGCGATGTGCATGTCCAGAAGTCATTGGTTTCCTGAGCCCCCATGTGGCTGCACCCTGTACCCTGATTCTGACCCAAATGCCCACTCAGTGAGCCATTCAGCTCTGTGTTGCTTACCTTGAGTGGGAAATAATTGCTGTAGTGTTTCCACAGACACCATCTCCTCACACAGTTGAACCGGCGGCCACCTGAAAGCACAGGAAAGCTCTGTCCACCCCTACTCTCCCTCTCTGGGCCCCTTTGGGGCTACCATGGGATCCTCTCACTCTCTTCTTTGTCCTGTTCTCCTACATGAAAATTAGAATAGGCATATCAAGACCAACCTAGAATAGGCCCAGCCTCTGCTTCATTACCCAAACCCAACCCTATCTTCCTCTTATCAACGCCAGTTCCAAGACATTAAAAGAACCCCTCCCCTCAGCTTTCCTAGCCCAGGGAGGGATAGGCTGAAAGATTGCCTGGAAATTATTCAGAGCCTCTCAGGATTAGAAGAGGAGCAGGAGGAATATATGGCAGTGCATCCCCGTGGGCCCTTACCTCGCTCAGGGGTCTTCCAGTCAAAAGCCAGCCAGATGAGCATCAACACAGTGACAGACCAGTACGATGTGAACACCACCAAGTAGAGGTTGACAAGGATCACAGTGGTGACTAGAGGGAACCCAGCCCAAAGTCAATGAATTATAAACAGTCCCTCACATTAAAAGTCCCCCTGCTTAGTTCCATCTACCTCAAAGTCACATACACCCTGACCTAGGCCTATTCAACGGTCACTTCCCCACCAAGTGTGTCCCTCATAGCTAAGCT